GACATTGGGCTAGACAAAAATCTCCAAGTTGGATCTCTAAAACAAGAGCTTTTAAATCCTTATTAAGATAACTAAATAATATGACAGACTACAGATCCCAGTTAATTCAATAAATGTGGCTGATCAGTACACCTAAAAGTATGGGGTCACATCTACTGAAGTCTGGTTGTGGCAGCTAGCTTAAACCCCATAACTCTTCTGGTTTTTTGAAGGCCTAATCAATTTTGTGGTCTTCTTGCTGAAACTAATGATTAATGCCACTTACACTGCGTGTTTTGACTGATGCAGTCACTTGTATATGGACCTCAAGGCATGGGCAGAGGATCAGGAGTGAAGTTGAGCCCAGTAGGCAGGAGAATGCTAATTTGCTAATTTTTTTTTGTTTCTCATTATCTATTTTAATTAATTTTCCCCAAGTCAACTCTGTTTATCTGTGACAGTAACTAATACTCAATCTCCCTGCCTGTATCTCAATACACAAGCATTCTCATCCTATTTCGTCCCCCTGTCCTGCTGAGTGGCAGTGAGAGAGCAACTGGGTGGGCGTCTGGCTGCTGGCCAAGGCTAAGCCACCACAAGCACTCAACTGAGAAGCAATACAAAGGGAAAGCTGAAGACTTTAGCAGAGATACTGTAAAACTGTTTCTTCCACTGATGGGATTACCATAACTAATAAGTCATTAACACATGTTAAATAATCTAGTTGTATAAAATGAACAGATTTAATGTGTCTTACTCTGTTTATGCAAACATGGTATTAAGAAGTACAGAAGAAATTAATAATGAAATACAGTTTGTCAACAAGTATAACACGAGTATCTTTCTAACAAAAGTAACTTCTCAACATTCTTGAGAGGAATGTGTTTCAAGAAATCACTTATTTTTCATACATAAAAAAAGCCTGCAGATGGGTTTTAAAATAAGACATTTACTTAAATGCTTTTTCTCTTTATGAGAAGACTTTAAGAAAACTGAACTTCAAGCAGATGGAATTTCTTCTAAGAATTCTTCCAGTAAAAATTAATTTCTGTTACCATTTCACATCTTACATGGGCGTTTTTTTTTTTTTTCCCCTGAAAGGAACTGGTCAAGTCACAGAGATGAGTTCTGTAAACTGCCAATGTTTAAGACTGTCCTACTTTGCTAAATTCTTCAATTTAAAACTATCTAATAGATTCCAGGGAAGAAAAAAAAAATTGCACCTGTTTTCCAAATCTAGATTTTTTTTTACAAATCAACTATTACCTTTTGGTCATCTTTAATATTCTGAGAATAAAGCTGAACCAGAACAAAACAACTTGAGGTTCTTTGTTTGACCTTGGTGGTGTTTTGGTCTTGTTTGTTTCTTTCTTTGTTTGTTTGTTTAATTTGGTAAAACATGCACTTTGATATTTGTCTTCAATATTTAGATGGTATAAAAGTAGGAAAGATCACTTATTTCAATGGTATCAGGAACTCTTGAGGAAATAATCCAGCTCCAGGAGTCAGATGAAGATGTTAACATGACAAGACCCAGGATAAGACAAAAAATAACCTTCTAAAATATATCTGGGAGGTTATGAAGGATATAGAACTAGCTGCCAAAAATATTTTCTCTCATAGCATAGCACATGCTAAATTTCTTCAACATTTATGCTTCATAAACATTCAGAATAATTAAAAAAGGTGGCTCTGAAATTGTCTTAAAATAGCCATTCTGGGCACAAGTATGACCAATTGCTTGTTGACAGAGCCAAATGTATGATTCCAGATTTTCCGTCCAGTCACAGGGCAGGTACCAAGTGTTGTAAATGATCCCTTGTCTGGAGCTGTATTAGAAGCATGCACAGAGATTGGCTCCCTCAGCTCTTCTTCTTGCTTTTTTGCTGAATGTTACACCCAAGTATACCCAAAGGCAGATGATCTAGTACCTACATTGCTGCCTTCTGGAATTTTAGTGGTAAGAGTACATAAAAGAATAAGGTTGCTTTAATGGGAATCAGTGTATACCATCTTATCCCGAGTCTAACTAAGATTACTAAGCATGTCCATGAAATCCTTCTGAGCTCCACAGGCAAAAATTTAGCATTATGCACTGATAACACAGATCCTGCAAGTAACACAGTGGAATTTTGTGGATATTTGATCATGAATATATCAATGTATAAATACCACAATGTTCAGTTTCAAACTCCCATAAATATATCTGCACCTAATAGTAATACTTGTTCAACTCCAGATGATTCTGAACTTGATCCATCTTCTTTTGATTCTTTTTTTTAAAACAAAACCAGTTCCCAGAACTTCTATGAGGGAGAAGACAGGCTTGTGGTTCCTTTATTAGTAGTTCATCTACTTCATCATGTTCTGATTTCCCACTGTATGAGAAAACCTTTAAGAACAACAGTGTAAACTTGATAGTTTACACATAAGCCATGTTCATTAATGTTAGACAATTAGCTACCATTATGATGTAGGGTTTAACATTTCAGACATTTCTCAAAGAAAGATCAATAATTTCCTTTTGTTCTTCTAGGAGAAACGGTATGTCAAATTATGAATGATTTACAATCAATTCTTTTTAATTCCTGTTGAAAGGCACATCCTGACATTTCTAATTTTTGTGTTTTCCTCATTCTTTAGGTTGACAAACCAGAAAGGATAAATTACTCTGCTTCTCAGTAACATGCTGCTTGGGTCTAGCAACTATGTAAGTCAAGAACCAAGAAACAGATGTGGCAACTAAAATTCCCAAAGATGGCAGCTTCTTGATCCATTCACTGCATCAAGAAACTCAGTACTAGGCATGTGACCTTGCCTTTGACCTCTCCCCAAACATTTCAATCCTTGTGCATGTACAGCACTGCCTTCTAAATCAAAATGTAAACTTACAATCCAGAACAATAAATTCTCAGGGCCAAGGACATTACACACAGGTTACTGTAAAAACAAAGCACCTTCTGCATTACACAAATTTCCCATGCTTAAGTGAAGCCAGTATGAAGATGGGGCCACAAAAGAAGACAGTACCCATCAGCAGAGTTTGCTGCAGCTAAAACACAGTTTAGGTACTGTCATTTTTTGTGAACATTAAAGGAAAGGTATCTTTCTTGAAAGGTATCTTACTTGAAAAAGGTATCTGAAAGTTAAATTAACAACAGTTTTGGTGGACACAGAAACTAAAGTAAGGAACAGATTCCCACGTTGCAGGGAATTCAAGATACGATAAAGGAAATTAACACTCCATGGTAATAAAAACATTTATTTTGCTCTGGACTAAAAACAGTTATAGAACAACCAGCCATTAGAGCAACAGTTAAAAATAGCCCTTTCTCCAGAATGATTAATAAATACAGCTTTGTTGGACCTTCCGTCCTGGGTTGAGTGAGTGGTGGAGTTTTTTGGTGGCAGGGGAGGGGGCTATATGGGTGGCCCCCTGTGAGAAGCTTCTCGAAGCTCCCCCAGCTCCACGTCAGCTCCACTTCTGTTTGGGAAATTGAGCCAATCAGCTGCGCCTCTGCGATAACTTATTTAAGAAGGGACGTGGTGACGGGCAGTCGGACTTGTGAGGAGGAGTTGCTGCAGCTGCGTGAACACCAAGGTCAGTGGAGGAACGGAGGAAAAAAGGAGGGGGGAGGTGTGCCGGAGCAGAGACCCCCCTGTATCCTGTGGTGAGATGGTAGGGCGGCCCCCCCCCCCCCCCCGCCACCCATGAAGATCTGCAGTGGAGCAGACATTGATTTATGGCCTGTGGCTTCTGCTTGCATGATCAAGGTTCTGTGCCCAAAGAAGGCCGGGGTCTCATGGGAAAAGGTAGCCCTGCTGCTGTAATTCAGTGCTGGGAGGATTGCAGCATGTGGGGGTGTCCCACGCCAGAGAAGCTCCGGAAGGGCTGCAGCCCGTGGGAGGGAAACCAGTCAGAGAAAGTTAGTGACCCATGACGGAGCAGTGTGGGGAACGCTGCGGCCCGTGGGAGGAACTCATGTCGGAGAAAGTTTGTGGAGGACTGTCTGCTGTGAGAGGGGGACCACGATGGAGCAAGAGGAACAAGTTCTGGAAACTCCCCTCACCGAAGATGAAGAAAGTGGCAGAGCTGACTGCGCCCCCCATTCCCTGCCCCTGCGCCACTGGGGGAGGAGGTAGAGATATCAGGGGCAGAACTGAGCCCGGGAGAAGGGAGAGGTGGGGGGAACGTGTTCTCAAGCTGTGGCAATGCTTCTCACTGTCCTACTCTGTTATGTGTTGTTAGCGTCTGTAATAAATGTATGTTCTTTTTCCCTTCCCCTAACGAGTCTGCCTTTTGCTCGCGACCATAAAGGGGAATTTTCTCCCCATCCCAGTCCTATCTTGGACCCCAAGCCTGGCTCTCTGTCCCTTCTCATTGCTGGAGGGGAAGGCAGAGACAGCTGCTGCATTGTGGTTGGCTGCCAACCAGGCCCAAACCACGGCACCTTCAAAGAATACTATACCAGGGCAATATAGTACAAGTCAAATAGACAAGATAATTACTCAATTTAAAAAACAAAAAAAAAAAAAAAAAGAAAGTTTTTGATTACAGACTAATACTGACTGTCTTTTCCTTATTTTATTTATCATGTATCAAAGATTAAAGTAGCATGCACAAAGCCAAATGTCTTACAGCCACCATGTATAGCACCTCACCATATGACTTCGGCCTTACTCAGTGGAGACAGTTAACTCAGAAGCAATTATGAATTGTTTGGATGATCAATCATCTTCACTTGGTAACCAGAAATAGTACTCAGTGACTGGCAGAAGGAAGATGAATTTTGTAGTAAGTTTTATATTAAAAATAAGATGTCTGTGTGCTACAAAATTGTATTTTATTTCACTAAATATGAATAGTTTTTGGAGATGAAAGAAGTTGAAGGTGGAAACTTAAACTAATCAAAGGAAGTTGCTTTACAACTTCTATTCCCCTCTTTCCCTGAGAATAAGCAGTTGTAAAACCTCCACGTGTCTGGAAATACAAATGCAGAGGGAACACTTCAAATGCTCACCTTATGAAGAATGGCTTCCACAGATTTCATATGACTAATAATCAATTCTTTGTCTCTGTTATAAGAGGAAAAAAAACAGAGTAGTTAATAGAACTGTAGCTCTACTGATGTAAAAATTTTCTGCTACTTTATAACCATCACATCTTTTAAAAAAATTGTTGATAACTCAAACGTAGGTTTGTATCTCTCCTTTTTGTATCTCCAGTACAAACCCTAAAAAATAGTTCATGGACCACTATTTGGCACATTTCCATATGGAAGATGCTTGATGCGGATAAGCAAGTAAACTAGCTGTATTTATAGGCATATCAATGAGCAATTACTGTGTTCTCAGAGAAGAAATCTGCAGTCTTGGATAAAATTGACATGTTGCATGGAGTCCTGGTTCTAGCAGGAAGAGCTTACATTCTCGTATTGGAGAACAGTGACAAATTCTTTATTTTTCATCAAATATATGGGCCTAACAGCTATGTACTTATATGCATATAAGTCTTTGACTTCTCTAAGCCTGAACTTTTCACTGCTCCTTTCCAAAGAAGTCCAGTCAAGGATCCTATCCTTACAAAACAGAAGTTTGGAGAATGAAATACTACTCTCATGACTTTTTGTAGATTAGGGCCTCTGCAAGAAAGACAGCTTTAATCAGCTATGTTGCCATTATAACCCTTGGTCTCATCTGATGCACTGACAAAAATTGATTTAAAGTTGCATAATGCTGTATGACTAAGGAGAACAGGACAGTGTGACCAACAAAACACCATAGGAAATCAAATGGAATATATGTCAAAAAAGCAGATATACCTTAATACTCCAGGACTGCTTTGTACCTTATCAGCTACATGAATATTTTGTTTGGGCTCTTACAGTTTCTGAAACAGAAATCAAAACCATGGTATTCTTCTGCCTGGAATGACCACTACTTCCTCATTTCTTGATTTATGCTATCCTAATGGCAAATACAGGCAGGTGGCCAGAGAAGTGGGATTGGCTTTTACACTGCTAGTAAAGCTGTCACATAGATTTTTCTCTTTTCAGCATCTTGCCTTTCTTTGGACCAGACTGACAGGGACATGCTGTTCGCCTTCTCTGCTGGCCTCATTTATGTAGTGATTGCTGTTTCTCTGGGTGAAGTCAGCTCTAGAGAGCCAGTTGAACACATTAATTTCTAACTTAGTTACTGACATAGAAGTCAGTCTGTTCCTCGCATATTCTCAGGTGTTCATCATAAAAATAGAAAGTATCTTTAGATGGAATTTAGAACCCAGATTAGTAGGTGGTTCTTAGATTCTTATTTTTGTGAACAAAAAAACCCTCTGACTACAGTTGATTAATTACTATAAATAACATCTTAAACCAAAAGTCCGGTAATATTTGTTTATGGCACATAGGAAAAAAGTTTAAACAATTAATCTGTTATAACCCTACATGCCAGGATCCACATTTCATTCAATCTTTATTTCATCCATTCATCAAATCCTACAGGGGTAATGGAAATTGGAATTGGATCATAGAATATTCCTTAGGATTATTAACCAGAAATGTAGTTCAGGCATGAGGAACATGCTTTCGATCATCTTTTACACAGCAGCTGGGCTGAAGGTTTGCTAGAGAGTTTCCATCCAGCAGAGAAATGACCAAAAGGCTACTAAATTTCTGTCAAGTTCATTGCTATCAGACACTTTTATTAATACTGCTTCCTATTCTGGAGGAAAGTGAAACAGAACTGCTGGCCACCACTGCAAGAAAACCAAGATCGCCATTCTCAGAATAAGCCAGCCATCTTGCTATCTTTTAAAGCTGTACAATAGATTAGGAAATAACTTGACAGACACCCATGCATTGCTTAGAGCCACTCTCGTTATGGAAAAGGTGTTAAAATAAGATCTTCCAGACAAAAGTAAAGTCTAGTTCACCTACTTTGCTTATATGCTCCAAAGGGAAAAAAGGACATTTGTTATGAAGAGTGGGTAGAACAATACATGGTATTGGTTTTTCCTTTGTCAATATTCAACTGCTATATATAGAAATAAAACCAATTTTAAAACCACTTCACTTTAAAATACCTCTTCTGAATATAAGAAGGGCCACAGGGAATGATCTTTACTAGAGTGGGTAAAAGAAGTTGGGGCAGGGTGAAAACAGGTAAGCTTTCCAGAACAAATCCTTCTTCAGGTCACATCTGCTTTAATACACTCATACCAAATAACATTTGTCATTTTAATTAGCTTGTTAAACATTTCACTGATAACTATATTAATTACATTATTTCACTTGTGCATAAAACCCTTAAACCTTCTAAGCTATTATTCTTCAGAGGTCAAATGTATCGCAGGTATAATGAAAATTTTTTAATTAAACTTTTTTAAAATCTTAGCCATGGATCAACAATATTCAAGGTACATACTACAATAAGAGTAGCAGGTAACAGTCTGCAAAGATTTATCTTTTTATCTGATTATATAAGAGGTTAGAAATAATCTCATTCAAGTCAATGGAATGCCTTTTGACTACCAATCTTTTCAAGACCAGTCCCTGAATATTTTCTTCTTCTCTCCAGGTTATAGTATAAAAAGGGATGGGGTTTATGTGTAAATCCAAAACTCTCTCAACTGAGCTGAAAGATCTATCCTGTTCCACAGATAAGACTTGGTCCAAATGGCTCTTTTGGAAGATAAGACCTGTCATCTAGATGATGCTTCTGTATTTCTTATAAATAAATTGTATCCCTCTATAAAAAGATGACATGGAAGTAGAGAAAACAAGCAGTCATTTCTTAAATAAACAAAGTATTGAAGATCTGTCAAAGAGACATTGTCAAATTGGTAAGGTAACTGGCAAAAATGCCCATGCTATCTCAGGATCCAGAATTTGGAGCACTATTATGGGGTAGCTACAGAAACCACACTATCTAGTATCCTGAACTAACAGTTTTCTTTTTAGAAGAGTATCACTGAATTTCAAAGAGACAGATGTACTTTTGTTTTCTAGCATTACATTAGCCAAGGCTAAAGCCTTGTGCATGAAAGTAGGAATTGATCTTTTGTCCGTTTTAAGTGATCTCCCCAAGGTCCCAGCGCTCACTTCGCTGCCATGCAGAGGGCACTCTCTGCATCATGGACGCTCTCCTTCAGTCGACGCTTGTCCTGCTCCAGCTGGGTAAGAAGTCTATTGAGCTGATGCAGAGATTGATCTTTTCTTCTCAGCTCCATCTTTGCCTCGGAGAGTCTCTGCAAGCAGACAGAAAGCAGAGTTACATGTCAGCCCAAATAATTAACTTCAATTTATGCCACAGGCTATTAAACAAAGTGGAAAACAAACTGACTGGGAAGTAGATTTGGACCGTTACATCTTAAGGTTTTATGATTTCTCTAGCAAAAACATTACCAACTCAGAATCCACCAGGTTTTAGTATATTGCCTATACACAAATATGTTTTATAGCATAAGGTGATTTATTGATCAAACAGGTACATACACTATGCTACAGGTATTATATTTACAAATACGAGATCTAAACACAGTTGAAATAAAAATACAGCATAAGAGTGAACAGTATATTCTCAAAACTTACTTTAAAATGAACATTAAAGAACTCACAAAGAAAGAAGGGGAATGAACAAAATATTTATTTAAATATTCTGCACTATTCAGAAATTTCAGGATTAAAAAAAAAATCTATTATTCTCTGTTAGTGCATTAAGTACAGCTTTCCTGCAACTCTTGCTAAGAATAAATTGCTGTTTTATGGTGCTTTCACTATTTTAACATTAGTTTTCCAATATACAAAATAGTATGTGTATTTTTTAATGGTTCTCTCCAGCTTAGAATTAACACAACATCCTTTAAATCAATTCAGATTAATCTAATAGATGACAAATAGCACCCAGAACTAATTAATACAGAATCTGGATAGCTGCTGCTCCTTTCTGCGGGGATAAATCAATACTTTTACAGTCTGAAGTATTAATAATGTAACTTCATAGTTTGCTAATTGTTACATTTTACTTATAGCTTTTAATTGCCTTTTTAGAAAGAAATTATAATAGGTGGCTATAAACTTTCTTTTACAAAATGCAAATTCTCTGACATATTCTAAACGAGTAAAGAAGGGTGCATATTTGCAAGACTGAGCTCTTGAACCTTGCTTTCAAAATTTATGGATATGTTTTCTGCTAAAGTTTTAAGAATGCTCTGCATAATTTCTACTCAGAAGTACTTGACCTGGACTGTGGAATCCAGATAATATGTATTATGCTGTGAATAAGTATTAAAAACAGTATATACAAAAGGCTGATAAAAATTTGGAGGGCAGTGAAAACTCAACAAATCTGAAGAAGGTTCAGACCTAGTCAAGTGCCAAAGGCATGTCAAAAACCAGCGTGCTAGAGGAAATTTCTATAACATAACAAAGTACAGCATAAAACTGCAGAATCCTGTAGAATAAACTGAAATCTGTGGATTGGCGTAAATTGTCTTCAAACATTTCTCAAGACAAAAAAGCAGTTATTTAAACAGTGTGTTTGGAAGATACAGCACCACTATCTGAACTCCTGCTCAGCAATTTACAAAATCAAGGCTGAGATTAATCACTGCTGTAAGGAGGAAAAAAAAAAAAAAAAAAACAAAAAAACAAAACAAAAAAACAGGAGTTTATTTAGGAAAGTGTACCCCAGAAATGCTAGTATTAGTCTTGCTCAAATTACTGCAGGTTGAACAACTCTATTCTGCCTCTTTTGCCATTATTTTCAATGAATAATATTATTTTTCACCTAGGAAAAGATAAACACACAGATCTCATTCTTCCACTGCCTTATTAGCAAAAGGATATCCAAAACCTGAAGTGTTGCCTTCAGAAATTCTACTCTAATGCCAGCAGCAGCTATGAAAGCCCTGTCTGAACAGCTGAATTTGTGATTTGTCCAATTTTCAGAAAAGTTATTTCCAAGAAGCTGGATATGAATTAGCAAGGACAAAAGCAGACGTGTTTAATTTAAAAATAAAGAATATTTATTGTGTTTACTGTTTGTTTGGTTTAGGGTAAGTCAGCATTGAGGAACAGCTCTGACAACTGAGTTGAGTCATGTCCGTGTCCTCCCCCCATTCCAAACTTCTGACAATTTATTGAACAGAGAACAATTTCTCTGGTGCCAATGCTCTGTCCACTCCACTTTCCCATCTGATTGAAAAATCTCTTTTTAAGATGCAGTCACAGGACTGAGCTCTGGCTGATGTAGAATAGATAATTCTGCTAATATTCTGATGCAAGTAAGTTTTGATGTAAAGGCTCCTGGAACAGAATCTGGCTCCAAGATTCTAGTGGTCTAAATCAGTGAAGAAAGATAGAATAGGAACATTATGCATATTTATTTCATTTTTATTTGACAGCTATCCTTCTGAAGAGGTCTGAAGAGTTGTCTGCTCCCACATAAAGCTTTCATCACTGACCACAAATGGTGAAGAGACCCACCAGGTGTCAAAATCTTCTGGGAGCTCCTAACCAATCTTGCTTACCAATTGCACAGTCCTACTAATGAGGCAGTAACAAGGATGAAGCTTGAAACCTAACTCTTTGAGAGGCATGGCCAGAAATCCACACTATCTGGTGACAAAGCAATAAAGAAATTATTAAATCAAATATCTCACTGAACAGCTGCTTTATTATATTCAAAACTTCCACCGTTTTGTACAGAAATCTCCAAAGGATTCAGACTTCACCTAACAATACTGCAATATCTAAGCAAAATGTAAACAGATTTTAGCTCTCTAAACGCAGTTTCAGCATTCACTTGAAGCTCCTTACTGCTGTGGGTTAAAGTCAAGCCTTGGAAATTGTTCAAATACAGTGTGGAGTATTCTAAAATAATGGTTGGCTAAGCCTCTTTTTTTTTCCTTCTTCAGATTGATCTAATTAAAACCCTTGATAAACTTTATGGACTCTAATATTTCCAGCTGAGTGACTGAAACCAAGAGGGTGTGCCTCTAGGCAGCAAGGCAACAATGATAAGCAGCAGGTTAGCCACTAATTTCTCAGCCAGGGTAGATTGTGAAAGTGTGATGTTCTGATATCCAAGAAAGTGTTCAGGAGAGAATAGGATAAATCAAGTTTAATAACTCTGCTCCTAATTGTTCCCTCAATGCTCCACTCTAATTACTTGGAGAACTCTCCTGACTGTCACCTGATATTAAGTTGTTGGAGGCTGAGTGTGGAGCACTGAGATAATCAATAAACATTTAGTGGGGAGAAGAATGAAGATCCCGTTAAGCAGTGGGAACCTGCAGCACCCAAAGCCCTTCTGCTCATGAGAAAACCTATGGGAGAGCCATAGTGATTGCAAAGCAATAATCCAAAGCACTGTTGTTAGGCCTTGAGGCCTTTAGGCAACAGTACATTTGAGAAAAAAAGGTTAACACGGTCACCCTAATTACAGCCCATTTTCACATTCTTCATATATGAGCGAAGACAAGCCAATTAGGTAGAAAGGAAGATAAGGGAAGTTTTATTTGTATACTAATTAAACCCCTGATGAAATTAAAGGAAAAACATACAGCTCTGTAATTGTGTCTGAGAAAGGTCACTTCAGGTTCAGTTATCAGAAAAGCACAGCCTTGAGATATTTCACTTAATCCACAATATAGCCTTTATTTTGCCCCCCAGGTCTTAGTATTTACGAAAATAAGAAAATTTCAAAACCTGATAATGCATTTATCTTGAAATGTTTTCTGCGGACAATTACAATTGTTAGAAAGTTGAGGCTAAATATGATAAGAAGAATGAAGGTTTTAAAAACCTACTGTGTCTGCATGTAGTTCTGTGAAGATGCTGAGCTTTCACTTTCAAGCACAAGTGATTCTGAACCAACTTAGAAGCCAAACTCCAATTTACTGACATTCCATAAAATGCCAGTTATCTGTTTAGTTCAGATGTTTAGGCATTCAGGTGCTAATTCAGACATCACTGCACTACTTTCTCTACAGTCCACCAGAAGCTCATAGATCAGTTGAGTTTTCATCAGAATCCTTAGGAGTTCCCTTCAGAGTTATTTTAGATTTAGGCTTTTCTTCCCCATAAACTGATTATAAAAAAAACACTTGTTGGAGAGAACAGCAAGTAACTGATAGCACTGAAGAAAAATCCCATTGGATATCTGTCAGCTGGGTCCTTCCACAAATAATTTTAACAAGCTTAGGCTCTGCAGTAAGGAACCTTGTTCTTCTAAACCAGTTACAAAAAAAAAAAAAAATAAAATAAAATCGAAGTTTAACATTGTCATTCTTTACACACAAACCCTGACTATTCAAAAGATGACAGATGGACTACCATTCTAAATGAATGCTGACAGTCATACAGCTTAAATTCACGCAAAGCATGTGTGACACATTTACACTGAGAGCCTATTTTCCAAGACCAACTAAAGCTAGATCAAACTACTTACTAAATACATTTAAGTAACACAGACACAATACAACACTACAGGATATGCAACTATATGGCAGTATGTGTATTATGAACTAATTTGTGAATTTACAGATTTTGTCTTCAGTATGAAGCTTTATATGCATGCTTTCCATTTAGATGCAAAAATATTATTTAAAAGATCTGTACACTGAATACATCCTGAAAACTGTCCTACACACATAACTAATAAAATTCCACAATGAAGAAAACCAAACCAAAACAAAACAACAAAGTTTAGCCAGCATTCATTCCTCCACCAGCTGAAACACACTTCACGTTATCCCTGTTGGCAAATACAATCTTCAGGACAGTCCAAGTGTCCCTCAAAAGACAGTCTACAGATAACCTAGAAAAGGCTTGTGTCTTCAAAAGGTCCAAATCCAAAACATACAAATACAAAAGTTACATACATATTTAATGCCAACTGTATTTTAGCGTGCATGACTGCAATGCAAACCAAATTATATTAGCTCAAACCACATGGCTGAATTTCCGTAGGATGTTTTCTGAAAAGAATTCTTACTTATCAAGAAAAACTCAAAATGAAACTTCTACCAAAACGGGAGATAAAAAAACCTCACAGTAAAAAGTTCCATGAGGAAAAAAAAAAATTCATAACTGAGACTTCTCATCCATACATAAGAAAAAAGAACACCTAAGGCATATATTTAGACCTATGTCAACAGATATGATGGATTTACACTTCTCAACTGGAAATCAAACTGCAGTATCAGCATATTATATCTGGATTCACTGTGTGTTTCATAGTGGC